AACTCTAACTTTCAAATAAAAACTAAATATTAAAAAAAAACTGAAGGATTAGAACACTTTTATATTTATTAGAATAGTATTATATATTAATAATTATATAGAAAATCTATATAATACATATTATATAAATTTATATATTATATATAAATTCTAATATTATATATTAATAATATATAGACCGTCCAGGAGCCAGTACTTGAGCCATCACCTGCTGCCTCCTGGGGTGCATCTGTAGCAGGAATTTCATTGTGCAGGTTAACGCGGAGAACCAGGTGCTGGGATCATTCATTCACTCAGGACCCCATCAGTCACTCATTCCAGGGTACTACTGTCCATTCACTTCGTGTCCTGTTAGTCATTTGGTTTGGTAACCTGGGAAAGGGAGCCAGATTTATGTGTGTTGGGGTGAGGAAATTTTTAGAACTATCTATTTGGACTCAAATTATCTTACTGTTTTCTATTGGTAAATACCATGGGAATATTCAGATTTTTAGGATCACAAATCATTTAAGATTTTGACATCTGAAGTATCTAAAAGTTAGGTATTACTATTGCAATTAAAGTGAAAAATTGAGAAATTGGTCTTTATGTGATTTTTTAAGTCCAAAAAGGTTAAAAAAATGAACACAGGGGCACTAAAGGCAGCTTGATATTTGCGTCTCTAAGTCCAGTTGTTCATTCTGACGAAGTTAATTCTGTCCCTGGAAAGGTGGGGCTTGAGGGAGCAGACGCAGGCGTGGACAGTGTCCTGGCCCACAGGAGACTCTGGAGGCCAGGCCTGCTATGTCCCCTTCTTCTCCTCTCTGCCCTCATCCCCTGCATGGCTGGAAGGCGGTTGGTCTCCTCGGAAACTCATGCTGAAGTTTGAGCTCCACTGTGAGATCTTAGGAGGTGGCTCTGCCGTTGTGAGTGGATTCAGCAAAGCTGTCTGTCTCGTCACATGGGGCCCTGTGCGTCTCCAGGACTCTGCCTGCGAGAAGCCACCACAACATGTGGCCTCTCAACCCTGGACCAGAACCAAGAGCCAGAATTGGTGTGTGCTCTCCAGAAGTTGCCCAGTCTGTGGTTTTGTGTTGTTGGCAGCCAAAAATGGACTGGCTGGATGATGGGTCTTTCCCAAGAACCACCTTCCAGTTGGTTCATCTCCGCTGTTCTTTTTCCCTATTTAATTGGCTTTAGCTCTTAGACCTAGATCCCCCCCACACACTTTTTTCATGATACTTGTATTTATTCTGCTCTTTCTCGGAACATGTTGAACTAGATGGTGCGTTCACTTTCCTGTGGCTGCCATAATACACCACCACAGCCTGAGTGGCTTAAATGACAGAAATGTGGCCCCTCACAAAATCAAGGCATGGACAGGGCCCGATCCCTCTGGGCTCTTGGGACGAACTCTCCTCAGCTCATCCTGAGGTCTGGCAGTGGCCTGTGCTACTCAGCCTGTAGACATGCACCAGCCCCGTGCCTCCACCACCACGAGGCCTGTGTGTCTGTCTCAGCTTTCCTTTTCCTACAAGGACACCAGCTATGGGTTAGTGCCCCACCCCACCCGCACCCAAGGCCAGGATGACCTCATATTTTAGCAACCACATCTGCAAGACAGTTTCGAAAGCAGCCACATTCACAGGTCCTAGGGCTCAGGATTTCAGCACTTTGACAAATCTTTTGGCTGGACACATCCCAGTCTGTAATAAATGGCCAGTTTCTTTTTTGTTTTGATTTTTCTTGATACATGAGTTTAGTAAACACTTTCAGATATGGGTTTTCTGGATTCTACACATTTTGACATGTGCAATTTCTTTTATTTATTTGAAAGATGGAGTTGCAGAGAAGCAGAGACAGAGAGAAAGGTCTTCTATCTGCTGGTTCACTCCGCAAATGGCTACAGTAGCTGGAGCTGAGCCGATTTGAAGTCAGGAGCCAGGAGCTTCTTCCAGGTCTCCCACATGGGTGCAGGGGCCCAAGGACTTGGGCCATCTCCACTGCTTTCCCAGGCCATAGCAGAGAGCTGGATCAGAAGTGGAGCAGCCAGGACTCAAACCATTGCCCACATGGGATGCCAGCACTGCAGGCAGAGGCTTTTATCTGCTATGCCACAATGGCCAGAACTGAGCCAGGAACAACTTCATGGTCTTCCACATGGGTGCAGGGGTCCAAAGACTTGGGCCATCTTCCACTGCTTTCCTAGGTCATAGCAGAGAGCTGGATTGGAAGTAGAACAGCTGGGACCAGAATCAGTGTCCATATAGATGCCAGCACTGTAGCTGCACCACAGCGCCAGCCCCTGGCTACCTCACTTCTGAGCCAGCTTCTTGCTAACACACCCTGGGAGGCAGTAGATGATGGCTCAGGTAGTTGGGTCCATGCCACCTAGGAGGGAGAGCTGGATGGAGTTCTGAGCTCCTGGATTCAGCCTGGCCTGGCCCAGCTATTGTGGGTATCTGGAAAGCAAACCAGTAGGTAGAAGTGCTCTCGCTTATGTTCTTGTGTTCTCTCTCTCTCTCTCTCTCACACACACACACACACCCCTCAGTTGCTCTGCCTTTCAGGAAGATGAAAAATAACAAACACTAAAAACAATGAATGTTAGGTCAAGTCAAATCAGCGACAGAAAAGATTAACACTGTTAGAAGACACACTCAATACTGTTAAAGACACAATACTGTTAGAAAGCACGCTCAATATTGTTAGAAGGCACACTCAATATTGATAGAAAACATACTCAGTATTGTTAGAAGGCACACTCAGTACTGTTAGAAGGCACAGTCAGTACTGTTAGAAGGCACGCTCAGTACTGTTAGAAGGCACGCTCAGTACTGTTAGAGGGCATGCTCAGTACTGTTAGAGGGCATGCTCAGTACTGTTAGAAGGCATGCTCAGTACTGTTAGAGGGCACGCTCAGTACTGTTAGAAGGCACGCTCAGTACTGTTAGAAGGCACGCTCAGTACTGTTAGAGGGCACACTTAGTACCGTTACAAGGCACGCTCAGTACTGTTAGAAGGCACGCTTAGTACTGTTAGAAGGTAGTTCAGTACTGTTAGAAGGCATGCTCAGTACTGTTAGAAGGCACACTTAGTACCGTTACAAGGCACACTCAGTACTGTTAGAAGGCACACTCAGTACTGTTAGAAGGCACGCTCAGTACTGTTAGAAGGCACACTCAGTACTGTTAGAAGGCACGCTCAGTACTGTTAGAAGGCACACTCAGTACTGTTAGAAGGTACGCTCAGTATTGTTACAAGGCACACTCAGTACTGTTAGAAGGCACACTCAGTACTGTTAGAAGGCACACTCAGTACTGTTAGAAGGTACGCTCAGTATTGTTACAAGGCAAACTCAGTACTGTTAGAAGGCACGCTCAGTACTGTTAGAAGGCACACTCAGTACTGTTAGAAGGCACGCTCAGTACTGTTAGAAGGCACACTCAGTACTGTTAGAAGGCACGCTCAGTTACCGTTAGAAGGTACGCTCAGTATTGTTACAAGGCACACTCAGTCTGTTAGAAGGCACACTCAGTACTGTTACAAGGCATGCTCAGTACCATTACAAGGCACACTCAGTACTGTTAGAAGGCACACTCAGTACTGTTAGAAGGCAAACTGAGGCACAATAAAATTTTCAAGTCTATTTGAGCACTGGTGCATCAGGCAGCTCCCAGCTAGAAGCCATTCAGGAACTTTTGGCCACCACCCACTGCACTGCTAAGGTCACCTTCTTCCGATCTGACCACCAGGGGGATTTGCAGATGGAGGGAGAGGGAGTTCTTAACATTCCTGGAACACAACAGATGCACAGCATATGACTCCCCCAGTTTGTCGCTTCCTTTTTAGCATTTAACGCTGCACTAGAATTTCCAAATCACTTTATTTTTTATTTTTATTTTTGACAGGCAGAGTGGACAGTGAGAGAGAGAGACAGAGAGAAAGGTCTTCCTTTGCCGTTGGTTCACCCTCCAATGGCCGCTGTGGCCAGCGCACTGCGCTGATCCAATGGCAGGAGCCAGGTGCTTATCCTGGTCTCCCACGGGGTGCAGGGCCTAAGCACTTGGGCCATCCTCCACTGCACTCCCGGGCCACAGCAGAGAGCTGGCCTGGAAGAGGGGCAACCGGGACAGAATCCGGTGCCCCGACCGGGACTAGAACCCGGAGTGCCGGCGCCGCAAGGCGGAGGATTAGCCTAGTGAACCGCGGCAGTGGCCCCAAATCACTTTCAAAAAAGATTTATTTATTTATTTGAAAGAGTTGCACAGAGAGAGGGAGACTGATCTTTCATCACTGGTTCACTCCCCAAATGGTCAGAAGGGCCGGGGCTGGGCCAGGCAGAAGCCAGGAGCCAGGAGCCAGGAGCTTCTTTGGGGTCTCCCATGTGGGTACAGGGGCCCAAGCACTTGGGCCATCTTCCACTGCTTTCCCGGGCCTATTAGCGGGGAAAGCTGGTTGGAAGTGGAGCAGCCCAGACTGGAACCGGCATTAGTGTCTTAACCAGTTAGGCCACAGAGCCAGGCCCGCAAATCACTCTTCCCCCATTGTTTTTTGTCACAAAAATATTCCCACCTACAGGGAAGCTGAAGCGATTCTGGGGCAACCTCTCTGAACTCTGTCTGTGACACCAGGTGTCCAGCCCTGGGCGGGTTCTGGGAACTGCTGTCCCTTGCCCATCACTCATGGCCTCGAAGGAGGCCTGGCAGTGCTGCCACACCCATCTGTCCCCAGGCCTGGTTTCCAGGAGTGGTCCAGAGGCCGGGTTGCCCAGGGCTTCCAGCTGGACCGCCCGCACTCCACCAGGTCGCGGGGGGCAGGAGTCTTGCAGAGGGCGCCGCTCCGGGCCATCTGTGCGGACCTCAGCCGGTGCGGGGCGGCGTGTACCCGGTTTCTACCTGACACGCACTTCATCACCAGCGGAGGTGTGTACGGCACTGACCGGGTTTCAGCTCAGCAAATACCCCGGATCGGCGCCTTCCCGCTCCAGGGAAAAGACTCAGTCTCGGGCCGCAAATGCGATGCAAGTATCTTAAAGCCCAGTCCCGCGAAGCTGAGGCACCGCGGCCGGGACCCCGCTCCTGACGTACCCCGCGGCCGGGACCCCACTCCTGACGAATCCCGCAGCCTGGACCCCCGCTCCTGACGTACCCCGCAGCCTGGACCCCTGCTCCTGCCGTACCCCGCAGCCGGGAGCCCCGCTCCTGACGAACCCCGCGGCCGGGAGCCCCGCTCCTGACGAACCCCGCAGCCTGGACCCCCGCTCCTGACGTACCCCGCAGCCTGGACCCCTGCTCCTGCCGTACCCCGCAGCCGGGAGCCCCGCTCCTGACAAACCCCGCGGCCGGGAGCCCCGCTCCTGACAAACCCCGCGGCCGGGAGCCCCGCTCCTGACAAACCCCGCGCCCGGAACCCCCGCTCTTGACGTACCCCGCGGCCAGGACCCCCGCTCCTGACGAACCCCGCAGCCGGGACCCCTGCTCCTGACGTACCCGGCAGCAGAGACCCCGGCTCCTGAGGTTCACCGCGCCCGGAACCCCCACTGGTGACGTACCTCGCAGCTGGGACCCCGCTCCTGAGGTACACCGCTGCCAGGACCTTAGCGGGTGACGTACACCGCGGCCAGGTCGTCGTTCGTGGACAACTCCGCTGCCAGGACCTGGCTGGTGACGTATCCCGCGGCCAGGGCCCGCCCCGCGCGTCGCAGTCGCCGCCGCCGCCGCCGCCGCCGCCGCCGCGCAGGTCCGGGTCCGCGAGCCCGGCGCCTCTGGCCCTCCAGCTCCCGCTCCGCCGCGCCCTCGCCGGCGCCGCCGCTCGCAGCCCTGGCGCTCCCCGCCGGCCCCGCCGAGGCCGCCTGCGCCCTGTGCCAGCGCGCGCCTCGAGAGCCGGTGCGCGCCGACTGCGGCCACCGCTTCTGCCGGGCGTGCGTCGTGCGCTTCTGGGCCGAGGAGGACGGGCCCTTCCCGTGCCCCGAGTGCGCCGACGACTGTTGGCAGCGCGCCGTGGAGCCCGGCCGCCCGCCGCTCAGCCGCCGCCTGCTGGCGCTCGAGGAGGCGGCCGCGGCGCCCTCGCGCGACGGCGCGGCCAGCGAGGCGGCGCTGCAGCTGCTGTGCCGCGCTGACGGGGCCCCGCTGTGCGCCGCCTGCCGCATGGCCGCAGGCCCCGAGCCGCCCGAGTGGGAGCCGCGCTGGAGGAAGGCGCTGCGCGGCAAGGTGCGGCCGCGGCGCCCCCGCCCAGCCCCGGGCCTCTGCACCCTTCCTGGGCGGTACTTTCCTCCCTGACCCCTCCTCGTGGGCCTCGCCCCCGGGGGACCCCCGCGGAGCGGCTCTCGGCAGGACCCGCCCCCTCGGTGCTGGCGGAGCCCTGGATTTCCGTCCTCCCTGGCTAGCCTGGTGCCTGCCAGGTCCCCAGGGTTCGCCTTCCATCTTGCGCTAGAACCTTCTCTGCTGTGCTCTAGGCTGGCCATTATACCTGGCACGAACAGAAACCAGGCTGGGGAGCCTGGCCACAGTTGGGAGCCAAGCCCCGGGGCAGTGGGCGGGGACGAACAGCTTGTGTAATGCCAGGTCCCTAGGGTACAGAGACAGTGCACCTGCTCCTTGAGCTAAAACCAGCCAGGCACTGTTACCTGTGTGCTCTGGGGATGGCAGGGTGTGCCCACTGCAGGCCAGGCCTAAGGCCTGGGGTCACTGGATCCTGGAGGGGAGGCTGCCAAAATCTGCCCAGATGGCAGCCGGCTCCACCCCCGAGCCTTGTGGAAAGTTGCCCGGATCCTGGTCTCTGCCCCCTGCCCTTCAGTGCTTGGCAGGCAGAGGCCTTGTGTTTGGAGGTCTTGTCTCAGGCGGGCTAGTGGAGTCACAGCTGTGAAGTCCTGGTCGGGGCTGAGCTGAGGGGCTGGGCCTTCTGCCACCTCCCAGGATCCAATCTCTCTCCAGGAGAACAAAGGGTCGGTGGAAATCATGAGGAAAGATCTGAATGACGCGCGGGACCTGCATGGCCAGGCAGAGTCAGCAGCGGCTGTATGGAAGGCAAGTGGGGTCTCCATGAGCGAGGGGACACCTGGGTGGGCCTGGTTGGCTGGAGGAGGGGCCTCAGTGGACTTTACGACGTCTTCCTGGGCTGCGTGAGCCAGCGTCCCTGTAGAATCTATCAGGGAAGGGCTGGGATCCTGTTTTTCTCCTCTGTAGCACCTGACTTCCGTTGCACACATGACCCTGTGCTGTTCTCTTGGTTCTGATTCGAGAGCAGAACCTGGACGTGTGGAAGGCCTTGCTAAACGTCTTTGTGTGCTTAGGCTCCGTGGCGACATGCCATCCACCAGTGTCTTAGAAAGGAGGGGCTTGGTGCTTGGCAGTCTGGGGCCTACACGTGGTATGCTCCCAGGGTCACATTGGTGCCATCTTGCTGTGTCCGGTTCAGAGATGGGAGCAAGCTCTCTGGGAAGGTTGCTGAGAAGACCCGAGTGTATTTTGACTACAGTCATGTCCCAGACCGTGCTCCAAGACTTATCTTCCCCTTGGCTATGGGAGAAGGGGATGGGGAGAGACAGGGTCTTCACACTTGGCCAGTACTTTTTTTTACAGCTGGGTGTGGGGGGTGCTCCATGTCCTCGGGTGGAAGGTGTCCTGGGCCCTGCCCCAGGCGTCTCTGCTAAGCAGCCGATTTTGTGTTCACCCTCAACGTGCTGCACATCAACTGCTTCAGGCCGTTGACATCCAGAGGTGATTGAGGGTCTGTACCTGACCATTCCTGGGGTTCCCCCAGGGAGATGTAGTGGTGACCTGGTGACCATGTAGGAGAGGCAGCTTGACCCCTTCCTGCTAGGATTCCTCGTGTTGCTGTAACTCAGGGTCTGCATGGCCTGGGAGTCCCCACAGGAAGTAAATCCCCAGTGAGGCTAAATCGGACAAATAGTGGAAGGTTCTGGAAAAGCAGCTAAGCTACCTGAGGAGGCTTGAGGGGTAAGGAGAGCGTCAGCCAGTCCTGTAGGGGCCCTGTGGACCCTGTCCTGGGTGGTGGGTTGTCCCTTGGTTTCAGGAGGGTACTGCTATAACATGGTATACCCAGGCTGGGTGCTGTATAAAGAAGAGATTTCTTTTTTTCTTTTCTTTTCTCTCTCTCTCTCTCTTCTTTTTTTTTTTTTTTTTTAAGATTCTTAATTTTTATTTGAGAGGTAGAGTTACAGAGAGAAAGGTCTTCCTCTGCAGGTTTGCTCCCCAAATGACCACAACAGCTGGAGCTGGGCCGATCTGAAACTAGGAGCCAGGAGCTTCTTCTGGGTCTCCCAAGTGGATGCAGGGGCCCAAGCACTTGGGCCATCTTCCATTGCTTTCCCAGGCCACAGCAGAGAGCTGGATTGGTAGAGGAGCAGCCGGGACTTGAACTGGCGCCTATATGAGATGCTGGCACCACAGGTGGAGGCTTAGCAGACTGCATCACAGTGCCAGCCCAAGAAGAGATTTCTTTCTTTTTTAGATTATTTATTTGGAAGGTAAAGTTAGATCTTCCATTCGCTGATTCACTCCCCACATGGTGTCAGTGGCCAGCACTGGGCCAGGTGAAGCCAGGAGCCAGAAGCTTCATCCAGGTCTCCTACATGTGTGCAGGGGCCCAAGTGTTTGAGCCATCTTCCCGTTTACCCAGGTACATTAGCAGGGAGCTGGATTGGAAGTGGAGCAGCCGGGACATGAACCGGCACCCACAGGGGATTCTGGCTTTACCTGCATGAGCCGGCCCGAGGAGAGATTTCTGAAGTTTGTAGTTTTGGAAACCAAAAGTCCAGGATAGCGCGGCCCCCTTGTGGGCCCTGGTGAGACGCCCTTGCCAGAAGGAAGGAAGCAGCGCACTCAAGGGCCAGCCTGGCGCTTTGTAGCCAGGTCTCTTGGACAGTGTCATCCTCTCTGAGGGCAGTGCCCTCATTGCCTCCTGACGATGCGCTGTGCCCCCAGCCTCAGCTTGCAGCTGGAACCCTCAGGGACACCCTCAAGCCAGAGCAGGGAGCGTCTTCCCCATGAGAATTTCATCTGTTGTAAGAAGCAGAAGGCAGGCCAGAGTGAAATTCTTGTCTCTGCCATTTTTCTTAAATGCTGCAGGGCTGTCAGCCCCCCAAGAGCCAACAGTGGTTTCCCCAGGCTGGGGCAGCTGACTGTGGGCGGGAGGGGCTTCGGTGCTCCAGGGGCTGAGGACCGCTGCCTGCCCTGCCCCTGCAGGGACACGTGATGGACCGCAGGAAGAAGGCCCTGACCGACTACAAGAAGCTGCGGGCCTTTTTCGCTGAGGAGGAGGCGCACTTCCTGCAGGAGGCCGCCAAGGAGGAGGGCTCCCCGGAGGACGAGCAGGCCGACCCCGCCGAGCGGTTCCGCTCCCTGCTGCAGGCCGTGTCGGAGCTGGAGAAGAAGCACCGGAACCTGGGCCTCAGCATGCTGTTGCAGGTGCGGGCGGGGCGGGGAAGAGCCTGCTGGCTCCAGAGCAGACCCAAGGCTGGTGCTGAGGGGGCTGCCGGCAGGCTGACCGGCCAGAGAGCGGGCCTTAAAGCCGCACCCTGTCGTCCACTCAGCATCGAGGGTCCTGGGTGTCTCTGGCTTCTCACGGGAGAGGGCCTTTGCACCCTGAGCTCTGGGTGCTCACTGTTGGTGCTGCCTCACCCTCTGCCCTGAGGCCTGACCTCACCTGGTTGCTTGGGCTTTGCGCACCTGGGCCAGGGCTGTGGGAGGGGAGCGGGACCAGCAGCCTCCTGTGTGAGGTGCTCTTGCCCCTCCAGGTCAGTTGTGACGACTGTGGGTAGCCAGGTTTTGGCCGTGGGGGGACAGAGATCTGGGCCTGGGGGGCTCAGTGGAGGTGGAGGTGTCTCTGTGCCTCACCAGGGAGGAACTCCCGGCTCTGTCTTCTCTCTCTTGCTCTCTCTCCTGACTATCTTCTTTCTTGCTGCCTCTCTCTCTCCGCCCTCTGCTTCTCTCCAACTCTGTTTTCTGCTCCCCGCCCCATGCAGTGACGTCGCTGATGCAGCAGGCGGTTCCCTGCGTAGCTCACGCAGAAAGCACCGCCTCCCACAGCTGGCCCTCCCCTGAGACGCCACCCCCTCCATCTCCGTGGGCACCGTCAGTGATGGCCGAGGACGATGCTCCGCAGGTGCCCCCTCCCCCCGCCGCCCTGGGTTTCCCTGCACAGTTACCTGTCTCAGCAGAGTCTGGTCTTGGGGCATGGACGTGAGACTAGTTGTTGCCCCTACCCCAGGCATCCTGTTCACACTGCCCCCACAACCTGTTCTCCCGTCAGAGCCCCTGCTCCTCACCTCGTCCCCGGATGGCTGAGGTTCTTGGCTTTGCCCCAAGGGTCTCAAACCCTGTACCTTCCAAAGGGTGCCTAGGATGGAGCTGTCCCATGGGACCCTCATCCTGGCCTGGGATCCCTGGGAGGTCCCTGGGGGGAAGCCGGGACTTGAGACTTTGGGCACGGGGAAGGGAAGGTTCTCCGCCCTTCCTGCGGGTCCCCCTGCCTGCATCCCCCTCCCAGCTCCCGACTCTGATTTCTCCTCCATCTGCCCCGATGCCAAGGCCTCCCAGTGCCCCTTCCCTCCACCTTCCCCAGGGTGCCGGGGCTCCCCCATGCTTCTGCAGCCCCTCCCTGCCTCGTCTGTCTCTAGCGTTTCTCACTTGTGTTTGCAACACTCGTGGCGTGGCCATGGTGTGGCTGTGGCGCTCACATGTCATCAGCACAACTGGCAGTCGCCCAGCAGAGTCCTCAGAAAGTCGAGGTCAGGGAGCGTAGATGTGGGCGAGTGTTTAGATTCACCGCCCCTGATGTTTTCAAGGGCCCTTAGGAGTCCCACCCTGACAGTCTGACCTGCTCCTGCTGCTGCGTGGGCTCTCGCTGCTAAATAAAGTGGGTTTGCCCTGGCCTGTTTGCCTGAGTCTGTGGGCAGTGTGGGTGTGTCCAGGGCCTCCCTTGCCACAACCCTTGTTAGGGACGGTGAGGCTGGGTTACCACGGGGCTGTTGTGAGAGGGACAGGGACCACTGCTGCCTGGACAGTCACCTGCACTCCAGACACAGCTGGGCAGGTGCCTTTCAGCCAGGAGCAGGGTGGGGCGTGGGTAGACGGTGACCCCTTCCTCCTGACAGAACGTGAGCTGTGAGGTGGGATTGAAGTTGCAGCTCTGAAGTCAGCTGTGTGGGGTAGAAATCTGGAGCTGAAGCCCCAAGTGCAAAACCACTGCGGGAAGAGGAATGGCCAGTCAGAACTAACTCCCACAGGGCACTGACAGTCTCTGAAGTCTGGGTTTATTTTTACAAGACTCCTTTTGTAAAAACAAGTCGACAGATTTCTTTAAAAATCAGAACGCTGGGGCTGGTGTTGCAGCACCGCAGGTTAGGCCTCCCCTAACCCAGTGCTGGTTCAAGGCCCAGCTGCTCCACTTCCTGCTACTGCGCCTGGGAGGCAGAGGAAGATGGCCCAAGCACCTGGGGGACCGGGATGGAGTGGAGCTCCTGCCTTCTGGCTTTGGCCTGGCCCAGATCTGGCTGTTGTGGGCATTTGGGGAGTGAACCAGCAGGTGGAAGATTATCTTTCTGTCCCCCTTTTTGCCTTTCAAGTAAGTAAATCTTAAAAAAATGAGCCAAACAAGCCGGACCCCTCATTGTTCTGACTCACGCTGAGCAAGTTCGACCCCTACCCCTCGGGTCAGCCCCTGTGGCTGAGGGCGGGCGCACCTCCCTCCTCAGGTCCCATCACCCCAGGACCTCAGGAGGGCATTTTAACCGTTGACCGTGGGGCTCCCCTGCAGCACCGCCCCAGCCCTCACCAAGACCCCCAGCGAACTCAACAAACCGCCCGAGGCTGCCGCTCCGGCCCACGGGAGCCACCCAATGGCGGCTGGCCGCCCGGAGGGACCCCTGGGCACCACCGTTGGAGACAAGCCGAGGCTTGGCCCATGTGCCGCCCCTGGAGCGCCCTCGTCCTCCCCGCCCTGCGGATGGTGCTGCCGCCCGGCCTCTCTGGGTCTCGTTGTCCGTCCTCCTCACCGAGGCCCTCTCCTGGGCGCCTGGTCTGCCACAGCTTCCGGCCTCCAGCGGGCCCAGACGGCGGGCGGAGCGGAGGCCCGTCCCTCGGTCCGCCCACCAGCAGTGGCGCAAGGGCCACTGCCCAGCATCCGTGAGGCGGCGGTCAAATTCCGCGGCCCTCAGGGGCTCGGACCGGGCACGCGGCCGCCGCCTAAAGCCGTATGCAAACGAGGTGACTCCGCAGGTCTCCTCTGATTGGGCGGGCCACTCCACGCAGCAGTCAGTAAAACTGCGGGGCTGCAGAAAGCTCTCAGCGCATTGGTGGCTGCAGCATCCAAAGCTCCGAGCTCCGGGCCCAGGCCTGCGGGCTCGCGGGGTCCGGCAGCGGTGCGGGCTGGGCTGCCGGTCCCGTGGGCGCCGGTGACCCCACGGCCGCGATCCTGGAGCTGGCTGGAGAACCATCGCAAGGCCATGGGCGCAGGAGGCTGCCGCCGCCGCCCGGGGAGTGGACCACAGGACGGGCGGGCGCTCTGCCACTCTGCCTCCCCAGTAATGGGTGATCTGCATCACTCTGCTTTTCTAACAAATGAAATAAACCTTTAAGAAATGAGGCTTCGCTTCCTGCTGCCGCAGCTGGTCCAGGCCCCCTGGCAGGTCCCGTCTGCACCTAAGGGGTCACAGCCGCCTGGCTTCGGCTGCAGGCTGCAGGCTGCGGGCTGCGGGCTGCAGGCGCCAGGTCCAGCCAGGTTTTCTCTAACAGCTGCTGCTTCTGTTTCCCCCTGGGTGTCCCCCAAGCCTGTATTTTTAATGGCACAGTCGTCGGTATTTGTGGAGTCCGCGGCTTTTCGGATGCCTGTGTGCTGTGTAGTGATCAGGTCATGGGGACATCACTCCTGGGTGATAAGAGCATTCACAACTCTCCCTGCATCACACCATTGTCACCGTGGTCACCCTTCCTCCCCAGCGGCCACTCCCTGCCCCTCCTGTGCCCCACCTGGCCCCTGGCAGCCACCGTCCCAGCTTATGCTGCCCAGGTGGTATAAATGGCACATGTGTGGTTGCCTGCCTGGGCCCTCAGGTTCCGTCCCTGTCCCCACCAATGACAGGATTTCCTTCTTTCTGTGGCTTTTGTGAAACCTGGCTGCTGTGGGCCCTGTGGTGTTGCCCCTGCTGTTCAACGGTGGCTGTAGGCCGGTCTCCTGGACACTCACCCAGATGCTGTGTCGCTGCTGTCTCCTAGCGGCTCCATATCCAGGAAAGGCGGTTGAAGGGTGGGGTCCACCCCAAGGGTGCATCCGGGGCCAGGCCCTGGGCCTTCTGCACACCCCGGGACCCTGCATCTGCCTCCTCGCTGAACCCAAGTGTGAGGGCAAAGCATAGCCTGGGGCCCCGCTCTTCCTACTGCAGTCTCCAAGTCTCACAGAACTATGGCCAAGTCGATTCACTTTGCTTTTCTCCTCCTAACCTTTCTTTTGGGTTGGGGGTGTCTGCCATGACCCTATATAATGGACAGAAAGGGGGCCCCCCTCCTGCACCCGCACTAACTCCAAGGGGAAACCATTCAGCCTATTTGTGGGTCACTGGGGTCCTGTTTTCCTTCTGGTCTACACAGTAAGGATGCCAGGGCATTTTGAAGCCTTCCTCCCTGAGGGAAAAGAGCAACGTCTCCTTGGGACCCAACCTCTGTGGGTGCATGGATGCCCCCCAAGGCGCCCCTCCCCCGACCCTCTCTGTAGGGATCTCTAACACGCTGACCTCTGCGGAGGAAGGTGGCTGTGGTGCAGCTCGGGGCAGAAGCGGGCAGCTGTGTTGGGTGCAGGTCACACACCAGCCCACTCACCTGCTCACTAAGGAAGGGGGCACCTGGAGCCCACCTGACATCCCTGGGACGCAGGGCCCATCCCTTCCCTGCTGCAGCCATGGCCTTTTGTCCAAGTCCTGTCCCCACCCCTTCAGCCAAGCCTCCTGGTGGTCTGTGTGGGGACCTGCCTGCTCTGCCCAGGACACCCAGTACTCATCTCCCTGTACTGACTTTCGTGAACTTGACCTCCAGGGAGCCTCCCCAGCGCCAGGCTTCCCCTTCCAGCCTTCCAGGCTGGCTCTGTCCTTCCTGGCCAGGTCCCTGTCACCGCCACAGTGCTCACCTCTCTGCCCAGAGTGGGGGCGTCTGAGCAAGGAGCAGTGGGAACTAACGCAAGGGCGGCAGTACTGAGGGAGCGGGAGGGGTGTGGGTTAGACCCTGGGACTGCAGTGAGAACAGAAGGCGCCTGTTGGCCCCGTGGAGGCGGGGTCTAAGTCAGCTGGGGCCTGGCTCAGGAGAGAATCTGCAGATTCTTACCAAGCGATGCGGGGGTGGGGGGGGGGAGGAGAGGAACAAATCTGCACCAGAACACCGGTGTGAGCGCTCACAGGGGCACCGCTCCTCCCAGCACTTGATGTCTTGTGCGTGCCTGCAGCAAGGGCACCTTGGCGGTGGCGCACCCAATCCCAGACCAGGTGGGTGCAAACAGAGCAGGGCTGCCGGGGTCCCGGGGCGGGAGAGGGGTGGCTGGACCTTGGGCTCAGGCTCTCCTGCTGGTGTGTGATGGTATGGGACGACCACACGTGTCTACACAGGCAAACTTTATTAAAGGTAAAAATCTCAGTACACAACAGATTGGGAGGGAATTCTCAGAGACCCTCACCCTGGAGCCCCCTGCAGGGAGTGGGGCAGCGTGGAGGCAGGGGAGAGGCCATGCGGTCTCTGCCCACCCCCACACCTTCTGTTCACACAAACCCCAGCCTCTGGGAGGCACCACGCCCAACGCTGGGCTGACACTGTACATCTGCCCCAAGCCCATGTCACAAAGCAACTCAGCAGTGCCCAAATCACCGCCGGCCCCAAGGATTCCTCTCTTTCCCTGCAGGGCTGGGTCCCCTGTGCCTCTCCTTGGCTCCCCGCTGGCGCCTTTTCCCCTCGTCCCCAGTGGCCGTCCCTCTGTGTCTGTGCCCTAATCCCCTGCCCAGTAGCTTCATTATACTTCCATTACCTCTTCAGAGGTCTAGTCTCTAAATGCAGTCAACCCTGGGGATGTGGGCTTGGGGCTTCAACAGACAAATGTGGAGCAAAGGGCACGATCTAGTCCATGACTCAGCATGGAAAGACGAGGAGCAGCCCTGCCTCCCACACTGCCCCTCGCACACAGCATAGCTGGGCATGGGCAGGAGATGGGGCATCTTGTCCAGGGGTCCCTGCTCTCCCCTGCAGACGGGGGCCTTGAGGGCCCTAGGGAGGGGCCGAGACCTCTGGGGCACCAGCGTCTTCCTGGGTCTCTCTGACCACAGGGCAGAAGGTCAGGGGGCTGGGGTCATGAGTCCAGAGACAGAGGAATGGCTGCAGTGGGCCAGAGAAAGAGAGGCCAGAGAATGCATAGACCAGGGACCCATCAGCTGCATTGTGGAAAGAAATCTTTCCCCTGTCACAATCCAGGAAAACACCCACCCGACAGAGGTGCTGGGGAGGCCGGAGCTGCGTCCTGGGATAGGACAGGGCCTGGAGTCGCTCCTTGTAAAACTCCACTGCCCAGAGGCCATGCTGGGGGGCCTTGGGGACCCTGCCCTCCCGGCCCACACTGCCCAGACACACGCCCAGCGTCCAGGCCTTCCTGTCCCCCACCTCGACCTCCCAGTAGTACTGCCCGGTGAAGAACTGCTCCTGGGCCAGCACGCAGGGGTCCTGGTCAAACCTGCTGGCACTGGGGGGCAGGTCCTGGTCGAAGAGCAGCCGCCTCACGCTCTTCTGATCCTCAGACAGGGAGAGCTTGGGGCTGGCTGTGGCAGGGTCCAGCGAGGGACTCACTATGGAAAGAGGCCAGCGCCAGGCATCAGGGGTGGGTCCGCCGTCCCTCATGCACAGGAATGTCAGGGTCTGCCCCACCTTGGGACCCCTGTACTCTTCCTGTGCTCCCTGCCAGCCATCAGCCCCAAGCAGGTGATGGGGATCTGTTCCTGGGCGGCAGAGACCTGGCTGAGTGCACAGAGTGTGTGCGTGTGTGTCTGTGAGACTGTGACAGTGTGTGTGTATGTGTGTGTGTGAGAGAGCATGCCAGTGTGTACCTGTGTGTGTGACAGTGCCAGTGTGTGTGGCATGTGTGTCTATGTGTGAGGGAGCACACAAACGTGTCTGTGTGTGAGAGAGCATGCCAGCATGTGTGTGCATTGTGAGAGTAAACCAATGTGTGTGTCTGTGTGAGAGTATGCCAGTGCTAACTTGTGTGTATATGTGTGTGTGAGAGAGCACTCCAGCGTCTGTGCATGTGTCTGTGTGCAAGAGTGCATGCCAGCATGTGTGTGCACCTGTGTACTTGCCTCTCCTTGGACTTTGCAAGAGCAAAAGGAGCTAGGGTCTTCTTTCCCAGGCTTCTGTGCCCACTTCCCAGCGTCTGACACGAAACCTGTGCTCTTTTAGATGGGAACACACACCCATGCACACACTTTACAATGCACACACATTACAATGCACACATGTATGCGTGCATACCACCTCCACGTGCACACACATGACCTCATGCACATGCTCATGCAAGGCCTGGACGCTGCTCACACACACCCACACGCCTGCACACATGCACTCACGCCTGAGGACAAGCCTCAGGACACCTGTGCTCTCACCCACCCCTGTCCAGCATCCTCTTGAGTAACTCTGGGCTTCTCACTCTGTCAGAAACGAGTGTGGGAGGGAAACCATGCCCACCACCCCAGAAGAAGGGGCTCCTGTCCTCTCCTTGTCCCCTGGGGCACCTGGCTCCAAGGACTCCACCCCCACCGGCCATTTCCGACGGAGGGACTTGTTTCTGCAGTGATGCAGGAGGCTGTGGTGTCTTGGGGTCTGGCTGATGGAAACCCAGCCCAGCCTTGTGTTCTGGAAGCAGCGAAATCGCACGAGAGCTCACTGAGCTCCCCTGGCGACACCTGTCACAGAACACGCCCCGTCCCTGGACTCCAAGGAGCTCACGCCGAGGCTGCAGCCCGCACTGCCAGGCTGGACAGGCTCTGACGGTGCCCCCGGGGCCTCCTGTGCCGGCCACGGTCCTGGTGTGGAGGTGGTGGGCCTGTGAGGGGCCAATGCACAGCCGCTGTGGTGCTGCCCTCAGGAAGGAGGGGTGTTCTCGTGGCACCCGGCTGGCTCCTTTAGGGGCTGCTGTGCCCTCTCCTTCCTGTCTGCCTCTCCTCCCACCATGGCGCCATCCCCACAACACAGTAGAGGCCGATCCAGGGAGCCACCTGGGACAGCTAGAGGAGCCTGTTCCCCAGCCCGGGCAGTCACTATAGCCTCAAGCTCAGATGCCCCTGTGTCCATCAGGGAGGACAACCAGGGGGACCAGGCGGGAAGAACAGTGTGAAGCCTGAGACTGCAGGTTCTTGCCAGGCAGCCGGCCCCTCCACAAGCCCCTGCCCCACCCCAGGACAGCACAAAGCTGGTTCAGAAGGCCCAGGTGAGTGACAGCGGGGGTCCTGCCCAGCTCCCCACTCCCGCTCACCCTGGAATGGCTCAATCCTGTCGCGGCCGGCTCCAGGCCCCAGCTCCTGTTCTTCCTGCTGCCTCCCTTTCTCCGGCTGCTCCTCGCTCTCTTTCCGGTTCAGCTTCGGGCAGAGGCAGAGACCCCCGGCTGTGATGAGCCCCAGCACGATGAGGATCAGAAACAGGGGCATCCTCCACGCGGAGGGCGGGGGCTGTCCTGAGAGGGAGGCCCACGGGGACCCTGGGGATCCAAGCACATCGGGATGAGAGTCCCTGTCCCAGGCCCTGCTGCAGGATCTGAGTCAGGGGCACGAGGTCTCCAGCCTGCTCTGAAACAGTTCAGAAATGGATGCCCATTCACACGCATGATGGGGCCGGGTCTGAGGGAGGGTCTTCCCAAACATGGCGGGGCCCTCACCCCAGAGTGCTGGTGTCAGGTGCTGGGACCCTCGTCCCAGAGTGCTGGTGTCAGGAGCTGGGACTTCACCCCACAGTGAGAGTCAGGAGCTGGGACTTCACCCCACAGTGAGAGTCAGGAGCTGGGACCCTCACCCCACAGTGGGAGTCAGGAGCTGGGACCCTCACCTCACAGTGAGAGTCAGGAGCTGGGATCCTCACCCCACAGTGAGAGTCAGGAGCTGGGACCCTCACCCCACAGTAGGAGTCAGGAGCTGGGACCCTCACCCCACAGTAGGAGTCAGGAGCTGGGACCCTCACCCCAGAGTGCTGGTGTCAGGAGCTGGGACCGTCACCCCAAAGTGGGAGTCATGAGCTGGGACCATCACCCCACAGTGGGAGTCAGGAGCTGGGACCCTCACCCCACAGTGAGCTGGGGCTTTTGTGACGTGATACATCATGAAGTGGAGCTCCCATAATAAATGGGACCCAGGAGAGGACCCTGCCTATGAGCGGGAAGCAGCTGCCCCATCCTCTGCCCCCCAGCCTCCCCACTCTCTTCTCGGATTTCCCCAGCAGCAGAGCTGGGAGGAGTGAGCTCCAGGGGTCAGAAGCTGCCCTGTGGCAGAGCTGAGGGGACCAGGTCATCCGGGGACAGACCCCTGAGTGCGAGCCGTGATAGAAATGTAGGACCACGCAGTGGACGTGGTGCCCGAGAAGCCAGATAGGATGGTCTGGGAAAGTTAAACCTGGACACAGCCGAGAACGCATGGGCAGGTGCAGTGTGTGAGTGACACCAGGGGTGGACTTAGGGCAAAGGGAAGAGCAGGGAGCCGTGGGCAGACGTGCAGGAAATGCAGGTGCAGTCTGGGGAGGGGGCTGCGGAGGACACCGTCCACTGGCTCTCGCTCTGGGAACTGCAGAGACCACGAGCAATCAGAGGGGAGGGGCCGGGGGGGGGGACACGGGGGGCTCTCAGGGCAGCAGCTGTGCTGGTGGACTCAGGCAGACAGATCTGTCCAGACCCATGGGGTCCAACCCTCAGCTGAGCTGTGGACTCTGGGGGACGCTGGTGCTGGCGGCTGTGACACTCACACCTCTCCTGCTGTGGGGAGCAACTGTGTGCTGGGACATCTACACGCTTCCTGCTCCAATTTGCTATGAAACCAGAGACATGGAAAGAACCCAACAGGAAGCTGATGTCAGGGCACAACTTTCTCGGTCTCTCTGCCCAGTGGCTGTCTGCACCCCGACCTGTACTCCGCCCTCGCAGTCAACACCCAGGACCCTCCCCTCTCCCACTGCAGGGCCACAGACAGCAGCTCCAGTGTCCCGTCACGCAGGGCCACACACACCCGTGCTTGGAGCCGCACAGAACACTCACCGGGCAGGTGGCTCTCAGCTACCTTCCTCTCATGGAGCAGGGGGCTGGAGATGGAGCAGGTGAGACCCCCCATGCTCCTGTCTGGGACGGCCACCCTGGACAGCACAGCCAAGAGGCCGGTGGTGGCTGAGGCTGAGAAACGGGTCACAGCTGGCACCGCATGCCCCCTGAAGTCTCTCCACTCCACGTGAGGCTCTGGGTACCAGCCTGCTGAGGTGCACTCGGCTCGGATGCCCTTGTCCAGGTCCTCGGTCACATGGATTCTGGGCTCCAAGCCCAGCCCTGGGGGAGACACAGAGCCTCAGTCCAGGGCTGCTGCCAATGCCAGACGTGTTATGAGGGTTCCAGAGGTGCTTGCATAGTCTCACCAATCACTACATACCACAGAGCAGAAAAGAGTCTTGGAGAGTCAGCGGGAGTTTCCAGTGTTGCAAGTCGGGAAGGGTGGGGGAACAGGAAGGAGCCCAGGCAGGGCTGACTGCAGAGCAGAATGCCCCCTCCACGTCCCCAGCTCCTCTGCCTGCCCTGGCCTGTCCCTGTCTCCCTTCCTGTCTCCCCTTCCCCTCTGCACTCTGTCTCCCCTCCCTCTCCCCAGCTGGTCCTCTCCTTCCCTGGCTCCCTGCCTTCTGCCTTTCCCAGTAATGGCGGGAAGGCAGGCTGCACCTCCTGGGACACAGCGTGGGCAGGTGGGGATGTGAGGACGTGGGGACGCTCCCACGCTGCGCACTGTGGATGGTAGCCCAAGCCTGGAGCTGGGACCGGGAACTTGGGAGAGGCGCTCCCAGGGAGGCGGAGGCCGAGGCAGCCCTCACCTGCCACCTGCAGCGCCAGGGTGGTCTCGCTGTGAGGCTCCCCGTCCCTGAAGAGGCAGTGGTAGGTCCCGTTGTCATACACAGTGATGTTGTGAATCCTCAGCACAGCTTTGCCCCTGGCCAGGTGGTCGCCCAGGAAAGTCGTCCTCCCCCGGTACTCTGCCATCTGCTCTCTGGACACCTGTGCTCCGCGCCTGTGCAGGTACACAGCGGGCGAGGGCCGGCTCCTGTACCACCTCAGCTCCATGTCCTCCGCGCTGAGGTTGAGGGACAGTCTGCAGGGCAGCAATGCGTCTTCCCCGACGGTGGCCAGGATGGGGCCGTCTGGCCCAAGGACCTTGAAATCGGCTCTCCCTTGGGAGGCAGGAGCAAAGGGCGAGGTGAGACATGGGTCAGGGAGTTGGTGCCCACCCACCTGTCTCCCAGGCCACCTGGCTGGGCTCCCCGGGCCCCTCTGGGGGGCAGACTCTCACCTTCCCCAGCCGGCAGGAGCTGCAGGGCGAGGAGGGAGACGGCGCAGCTGTGCAGGAAGACGCCCCCACTGCCTGCCTTTGCCATGGCCCTGGGCACAGAGGGCTCTGAGGTGCCCGCCTGGCCCGGGGGGGAGAGGAGCACTGTCAGGAGCTGATGGGAGGAAGGAAGAGTCACCGCTCACGGCCCTGACAGGGCTCAGCCTTGCATCCTTCCACCGCGGGGGCCCCTCTCACCTCCTCACCGAGATCGGAACTGCGTCCAGAGCCCCCACACCCTACTTACCTGTCTCCTCCCTGGAGGACAGGTACAGGAGCCCCCCTTCCCTGTGGTCTCCCTGGGGGACAGGAACAGGAGCCCCCTTCCCTGTACCTCCCTAGGGGACAGGAACCCCCCTTCCCTGTTGTCTCCCTGGGGGCCAGGAGCCCCCCCTTCCCTGTCATCTCCCTGGGGGACAGGATCCCCCCTTCCCTGTTGTCTCCCTGGGGATGGGGGCAGGAGGTTCCTGAGCCCTGGCCGGCAAGTTGCCGTACTCCAGGCCTCTGGTCATCAGGGTGCTCGGTGGAGCCACACACTCTGTGGCTGCAGGAAAGTCTTTGGGGGTTCCCCTGGGGGCTCCCTGTCCCTCGAGGCTGAGGAGAGAGCAGAGCAGAGGCCCCACGGAGCCGGGGTAACAGAAATCCTCACCTAGTGGTGATCCGCGGCCAGTTTCCAGGAAATCTGGTGATTCCAGGAGAGTCTTGCATTTGCCAGAGGCGGGAGGGGGGGGCAGTCCCTGGGAGCAGCCAAGCTCCAGGCTTCCACTGAATCCTCCTGCTACGTTTATTTTTCTGTTTTGCAAAAATAACCAGCTGTGCTGTTTTGGCAGTTGCAACACACACACACACACAAGTGCTTCCTGGGGGTGTGGTCAGCAGAAGTGGACGATGCTGGCACCAGGAGATAAGGGCAGAGGCCCTGGCCAGATGAGGTGACACGAGGATGGCCACCAGGGCCAGCTTTGGCCTCCACCAGGAGCCTAAGAAGGACAGGGGACTTTCCACATGGGTCCCAGCCAAGGGCAGAAGCTGGGGAACTCAGATAAAGTCCCTTGCTTATCTAGGACCTGCAGACCTGTCCAGTTCCTTGGGGAAAGTTGTTTACCATAGTGTTGAAATCCGCCCAATTCTGGCACTGCCTCCGGAGACTCCAGGGATGGTGAAATTCAGGCCACCTCCTTCCTGTCCCCTCCCTGTCCCTGTGGCTGTGGGGATCCTTGAGGGAAGCCTCCCCGGGGCTGCTTCTGGGGTCGGATCTCCCACAGCCAAGTGTCAAGCTTCCTCTTCTCTCCTCATTGATGGAGATACTGGGGCATTCCCGGCAAGGCTCTGTGGGAACAGACACACAGCACACATGGAAGGGCCGCTGGCCAGCATGAGGCCAGGGCCCGCGTCAGCAGTCAGTGCTGAGGGCTCCGGGCCCAGCCCCCGGCCCTCCCCAGGTGGTGTCCCTGTGAGCCTGTGCAGGGGGCGCCTGTGCCCAACCATCATCCCCCAGGCCTCGCCGTCCTTGTGAGATGGGAAGGAGGATGGGGGCTTCACCATGGCTCCTCAGACAGGAGCAGAGGGCGACGCTTGTCCAAGAGACCAAGAGCCCCGTGCACTCGGGGGGGGGGTGAGGGAAGAGCGGGGCCTGCCGCCTGGACATGGCCCACGGCCGCCTCCCTGTGTTTGCAGACTGACCCCCAGGACAGGACCACGCCGTGTGATTCTGGCCAGGAGATGACCGGACGGGGCTGAGGAGATGGGGTGGGGGAGAAGGGCCTGTGACCTGCGCCTGCTCAGCTGCTCTGAGGGTCTGCAGGCTGAGATGCAGCAGCAGGAGGCACAATGCCCAGTGTGACGCCGAGGGCGCACGGCACAAGCCGGCCCGGTCTGCATTCACGCTGGTGTTCTCGTGGATGTGGGGGACCCTCCGTTTGTGCTCCCCATGGAGGGCTCTCTGGCTGAGAGTTCCTGAAATTCCTCCCCAGCTCCACGGTCGCCCAAGAGCCCCCCGAGCAAGGTGGGGCAGAGCCCTGTACGCTGCCCCCCCCGCCTACCCAAGCTGGGGCTGGGACCCTCCTTGCGAGGTCTGGGCACAAAAGCAAGGCTTTGCTTGCTGTCACGTTTCTCCCTCATTCGACCACACAAAAATTTCTGTTTCCTTCCAGAAATCATTTTTCTGTGGCCCCTCGTACACACATAGGCTAATGTCTACCTGATTTTAACAGGCTGGGGATTTTACTTTAGGAAAATAAAAACACTTTGGAATTGTGAACGTGCTGCAAAAAGTTATGCATGGTTTTTCATAATACACATTTTCATGAACCTTTCAATAAAAGATGAGAGAGAGAGAGAGAGAGAGAGAGAGAGAGAGAGAGAGGAGAGAGAGAATCTTCCATCTGCTGGTTCACTCCCTAAAGGGCAGCAACAGCCATGGCTGGAACCAGGAGCCTGGAACTCCATCCTGGTCTCCCACATGGGCGGCAGGAGCCCAAGCACTTGAGTCATCATCTGCTGCTCTCCCAGGCCATTAGCAGAGAGCTGGATCCAAACTGGAGCAGCCAGGACTTGAACCAGTGTCCCAGTGTGGGATGCTTGTGTCTCAAGCAGCAGTTTAACCCCCTGCACCCTACGCTAGCCCCTTTTGTGAACTTTCTGAAGACCCATCATATGCGTTATTACAAAATTTTTGCACCAACAATAAATTTATTTTGTCATATTTTACACTTATCTTTTGAAGTACCCTTATACCAACGGTGTGCTTTTATGTTACAGAATTTCACTTCAGTTGAAGAAGAAAGAAAAGGAAGAACAAAAAGAAAAGAAAAAAGCAAAAGAAAAGGGAGGGAAGAGAGAAGGAAGTGAAAGAAGCCGACACCTGCCGTCTGTGGGTGGGGTGAGGTTGCCAAGCCAAGCAAACCCCCCAAGCAGCAGCTGCACAGGCCACTGGCTCCTCGGCACCCTCTGCAGGAGTGTGTGTGTCAGTGCACCGGCCTCCCCCTGAGCCAGCACGGCCTTTGCCTGTGTCTCCTGCTCTCTCCAGCCCCTGCTCCGGCCCAGGGCCCAGCTCACCCCCGCCCTGAGCAGGTGCTTTATGCCTTTGTTCTCTCCAACAGCCTGTGAAGAGAGCTGGACCAGGCTTTCTCCCATAGCCCCTCTGTCCTACAAACCCGAGCAGCCCATGGGGCTGACCGAGGGTTGGGTCACTGTCCCCCTTTTCTCGCCCTCCTTCCACCTCCCTTTCGCACGGCCCCTGTCACCATGTGCACTGTGTTTCCATGCCTTCAGCGTCAACAGTGGCGTTGGCTGTATTCAGAGGTACGCAGGTCACTCCCTGGGACCCCAAGTGCTCCTCCTGAGGTTGTGTGAGACCTGCTCATGGCAGTTTGCAGGTGTGCGCCCCTCCTGGCTCCTCAGCGCTCTGTGAATCCCTGTGCTCAGGGGCCTGTCCCGTGAGCAGGGGTGCCGCAGAGGGTGGGACCGAAGTTGGGACTGGGCAGGGGACCCCGGTCCTGCAGGGTGAGGAGGGGCAGCTGAGTGGCTTGGGGCCCCTGCTCTGGGTAGAGGAGGACTTCAAGTGCATGAATGAAATAAATGGGTTGGGTAGTTCTGTAACCAATACTAGTAATTCAGAGAATCTTCATGTCAGGTGTACAGCTGCCTTGGAATGCACTAGAAACAGTGGACAAAAGTAGTTCTGGCTATAGCACTGTGAAGGAGCTCAAGCTCCCCACCCTGCCCCTACCACTGCCCCATGGAGGGGAAAGAGGAGGAAGCTCCCACTAAGAGCAGGCCCAGGACGCTCCTGTGAGGCCGCTGAGCAGGAGAGGTGTGGCCCTGGCCAAGAGGAGGCAGAAAGTTGCAAAATCCTAGGCTGTGCAGGGCAGATGACATCTTGAGAGGGTGACAGACACACTCCTCCTGTGCCCCATGGAGTCGCGTGGATGCTGGCTGCTGAGCTGAGGTTGTGGGTGGTAAATGAAAGTCTTCCATGAGAAATCAAAGTCCCTATTCTTCCCCAGTCAGAGGTAAAGGCTCAGAATCAGTCCTCACCCAAAAGCAGGAATCAGACATCAAGAATCAATCTACAGCCACCTGTTTACACCTGTATCCGCCTATCTCCATCTGTCATCTGTCCATCCATCAATCAATTTCTACCTGCATAGCCTATCTATCAATCATCTATCTACCCACCTATCTCTATCATCTATCCATCTCTCTGTGCACAATCTAGCTATATTATCATTTATCACCTAGCTCTATCATCTCTCTATCATCTCTCTGTCTACCTATCTCTATCATCTATCAATCAATCTCTCCCTGCATCTGCCTATTTCTATCATCTATCTATGTCTGTGTCTGCCTATCTCCATCTGTCATCTATCAGTCTCTCCCTGCATCTGCCTGTCTCTCTCAGTCATCTATTTATATCTACCTATCTCTGTCATCTATCTTTTTTAAAAGATTTATTTATTTGAAAGTCAGAGTTACAGAGAGAGAAGGAGAGGCAGAGAGAGAGAGAGAGAGGGAGAGAGAGAGAGAGAGAGAGAGAGAGAGAGAGAGAGAGAGAGTCTTTCATCCTCTGGTTCTCTCCAATTGGCCACAACCGCCAGAGTTGCACCGATCCGAAGCCAGGAGCCATGGGCTTCTTCCAGGTCTCCCAGGTGGGTGCAGGGGCCCAAGGAATTGGACCATCTTCCACTGCTTTCCGAGGCCATAGTAGAGAGCTGGATTGGAAGTAGAGCAGCTGGACCTCTAACTGGCGCCCATATGAGATGCTGGCACTGCAGGCAGCTGCTCTACCCACTACGCCACAGCGCCGGCCCTTCTATCATCTATCAATCAACCTCCACCTACATCTGCCTGTCTCTATCATCTATCATCTATCTACCCATTTATCTATCTAGAATGTGCCTATATTATCATCTATCTAATCATCTATCTAATCTATCTATCTAATCATCTGTCATCTAGATATCTTATCATCCATCAGTCCATCATCTACATCATCTATCTGTCACCTATATGTCTATAATAGCAGCCTAGGGTCCCAAACATGAGCCCACAGAACTTCTAGTGAGAACACACATGATAGCCAGTGTAGTTCAACAGAGCCGCAAAACAAGAACTGCCAAAGATTCACCCAAAAAATATGAGGAAAGGGGCCAGTGCTGTAGTATAGCAGGTAAAGCTGACGCCTGCAGTGCCAGGATCCCATTTGGACACTGGTTCAAGTCCCGGCTGCTCTACTTCCCCTCCAGCTCTATGCTATGGCCTGGGAAGGCAATAGAAGATGGCCCAAGTCCTTGGGCCCCTGCACCCATGTGGAAGACCCGGAAGAAGCTCTTGGCTCCTGGTCAGATTGGAGCAGCTCCAGCTGTTGCGGCCATTTGGAGTGAACCAGCAGATAGAAGACCTCTCTGTCTCTACCTCTGCCTCTCTGTAACTCTGCCTTCAAATAAATACATAAATCTTTAAAAAAAAGATTGGTGGAAAGAATTGTGGAAAGACCCCTGATGGCTACAGGTTTCTGATGGCTCTGACACACTGCCGTTGGCGGGGTCAGGGTCTGGAGAGCAGCGGGGCTCTGTGGCAAGCAGGCTAGACTTTGCAGCATGGGGCTGGGAGAGAAACCATGTGGTGCTCAGGAACCTGCTGAAGCTGACACTCGTGTTTGAAGGCTTGGGGGTGTCTGAGACATGGGAAGGCAGCTCTGTCCTTACAGCAGGGCAGAGTGCAAACACTGGTTCCAGCTCAGAGATTTTGACTGGGGGGCAGCATCTGAGCATGGGAACAACCAGGACCAGACCCGACTCAGGATGGAGGGCCACCCTTGTGGAGTGGAGAAGACCCTGGCCCACGCTGGGGCTTTCACGAGTCACACAAACTCCAGCTGATGCCATGACCTTGCCACGAGTTCCACCATTCAATCTC